ACTCGGGCCATTGGAGTAGGTTGTCGACTGATGCCTCGTCGATCCGTGCTATTATTTGGTGCACTTAGATATGCATAGGGGTGTATTTCCCGAACCTAGCCGGCCAGTCCGTTTTGGTATCAGGATAGCTTGATTCCTTACATGAGGGTGCAGTTCGGTCAGTCGACTTGCCTTTGTCTCTCCGAGATGACTCTGGGAGTTTCTTACTCTGGGATCGCAGTTCAAGCAACTCTTCTCCATCTATGTGTAACTGGATCATGGCCATGAGGTGGTGCACGAGGGTACAACAGCAACCGTTTGTGGTCCCACGCCTCGTTGTCGCTTTAGGATTCATATGCGTGTCCTCCGCAGACTTACCCTTAACAAGTATGAAGCATCTACTTAAAGGTTTGCAATACCCCCAGGGTAAGGATGTTGCAACCGAAGTGCCTCTTGTCTTGCAGCTAGACATAAAACTCTCTCCCATGAGCTCCTTTAGGTATCCTCGCTGGACAAAAGACTCGACTTGGTCCTTAAAGTCGCGATAGTCTGCCATGTCATGCCTGTGGTCGGATGGAATTTGCAGTACTTACATCAATCTGTTTTGCCTGCATCGTTATTTGATCGATCGGGCCATTGGAGTAGGTTGTCGACAGTTGTCCCATCAATCCATGCTACTATTTTGTGCACTGGGATACGCGTTGAGGTGTATTTCCCGAACCTAGCCGGCCAGTCCGTTTTGGTCTCGGATCAGGATGAGCTTAACTCCTTACGCGAGGGCGCAGTTCGATAGGTCGACTTGCCTTTGTCTGAACAAGATGACTCCGTGAGTTTCTTACATAGAGATTCCACTTCAAGCAGTTCTTCTCCAGTTATGTGCTGCTAGATCAGGGCCATGAAGTTGTGCACATTGGTACAGTGGTAACCATTTGTGGTCCCATGCCCCACTGTCGCTTTAGAATTCGGACGCATGTCCTGCACAGACTTACCTTCAACAAGTATGCAGCATATACTTAAAGGTATATATTGTATAATCTACAATGGAGGTTTCTGGCACATTCTCGTTGAAGTACCGACTTGCAGGCATTCAATGGTAAAACGTGCCACATAGGCCTTAAGATATCCGTCCAACCTTTGTTTAACGGGTATAAGGTGGGTCTCTGTTCGTCTGTTGATGCATAAGTAATGAAACTGATCGACAAACTTTCGGGAAAGATCTTGGTATGTTGAGATGGAGAGTTGGGGCAAGTCTGGGAACCACTGCCTGGCGAGGCCGATGAGTGTTGCAGAGAACCCACGCATTGTTCAGCGTCACTATACCCACCCCCTCATGCCATCTTTGTAAGATGTTGTGTGATCCACGGGGTCCGTCGATCAATCATACTTATCGATTCGTGGTCCCTTGAAGCCTTTAGGGAGCTCCACGATAAGCAAGTTGGCAGTGAACGGCTCTTGAGTCATCTCTAGAGGTTCATAGTGAACCATGGATCCTTTGTTTCCCTTCCCTACCCGTTGTGGGATCCGCTCGAGTGGCTGGCGTGCCGGTGCCTTTTTGGCAAGTCCGAGTGTTGTGAGGGGATCCTCTTCATTAATACTTTCTCGGCGCACTGCTTGGGATTCCCCTTTGGCGGTCTAACTAGTGCCCCCACTTTCGTTCGCAGGTGCGGCGGTTTTTCTGGCACGGTCGGTTAAGATGACATCGATCAGTCTCCTGATTTGGGAGGACATTTGGGTGTTCATCGCCCGTACCTCGGCTCGGAGTCCCGAGCTTCTCCTATGGGAGTTTCCCACCTTTCGCTTCTCGAGGTGACCCATCGGGCAGAGTGGGTGACCCGAGTTCGTGACTCCCCTATCCTTATGGGAATTGAGGGAGTGATGGCTGTCTAGATGGTAGGCTTGCCACATCGACGCTCCTCATTGACGGATTGATTGAACGACGACTCCTTGTCGAAAGACATTGTCGAAGTGTCTTAGTGAAGGGATATAGAGCTTTCGTCTGACTTAAAAACGACGACACCAGTTGTTGACGGTGAATTTTGGAGTGATCCACGTGTCCTTCAAAAGCATAGGTTGCCAAAAGGCAAATGAGTATGCAACAATAAAACTCGGCGTCGGTGCGGTGCTCGCCTAATACACTTCGACAATTACGACAGTTATCAGAATAAGAAAATTGGAGTAGACACGTATAGAGTTTAGTGACAAGCTTTTCACTTACTTGGTAGGGAAGGGGTCTTGCCCTTTTTATAGGCGTGAATGGCCGACTAGAAAGGACAGTGGTTAGAGCTGCAGGGGCACAACGGGTTGTACCCTCTGACAAACGTGGGGCGAACGTTTCCAACAATCAGCGATGACACCTCTACCTGCCGGTTTGTCCCCCTACGGCCGTACGTTGCAGGCTGCAGCCCTCGAAGTCTTACTCATACAGCCCTAGAGGTGACACACCCATGTGCACGAGTATCGTACGTTGCTAACAGTCTGTGTTTCCACGGCTCGATATCATCCCTAACTCTCGACACCTCGAATTTCTCCCTCAACGATATTTAAAAGGAGTTAGAATGGTGATTGGACCCTTTAAAAATGGTGAACAAGAAAATCACTTTTAAAAAATTAAGGTTTGAACCATTCCACCACTCAATATCTCACAAACATAAATCTTTTATTATTTGAATATTTTTTTAAAAAATGGTCATATTTATATGAAAAAAAAATCAAAATTTCCATAAGAAATAAAAAAAATCATGAATTTTATGATTTTTTTTCCTTTTTAAAAACTGCTTAAAATATATATATATATATATATATATATATATATATTACATTTTAAAAATTAACAAAGTATATGAAAAACAGCTTAAAAACAATAATTTATAGTAACAATAATTTTTTTCGTTTTCTAAAAATGGACATGTTTATGTAAAGAAAAATTTCAATCTTTTTATAAGAAACAACACAATCACCAGTTTTATGGTTTTTTTTTCTTTTCCTTTGTAAAAATTACTTAATTTTTTCCTCTTAAAAATTGACAAATTATATGAAAAAAGTTTTTTTGAGAATCGTACAATGGACTAAAACTCAAGTATTGGGGGCCAGTGAAACACGTGCAACCATACAAAGCAGAAATTATGTCATATTGTTAACCAATATGTATATTTTCTAAAGTTCAGTAGCTTACCGTAAATCTGCCATTGATTAGTACAATATATGTCATTTTTGTAATATAACTTTCATACTTCTGCATCAACTTACGCCAATTATTCTCTATTTCATAACGTTGAAGTCTACTTTTGCATCACCTTAGGCTCATTATTCATCATCAAATTCAATTCTACCAAATTAGGTTACATTATATTTGTACATAATCCTAAACAAAATAAAGTTGAGTAATGTTGTTACTCTAACAATATCTCATACATTTATGAAATATAATTATAAAATAATATAGTTAGTTGAAAACTTTTTGTCGACCTATGCATAATTCAAATGCTTAAGGTATATATCTTTGACTAAAATGTTAGATATTCAAATCATGCCCGATATATTTAGCTCTCCAGCTTCCTTTGAGATTAGAGGTTAAAATTCTCATACCCCACATTTATCGTACTCAAAGAGAGCCAAAAGCAAACTTACTAGGGTATTGCTCTTGTGTATTCTTTCTTCTGTTCTGAGTGAAAGTTGTTCTTTCCCTGAAAATAAATTTTTTGGTTTGTGTTTTGTCTCTTTTGCCTTTGGATTCTTGAGGACTTCAAGATGAAAATGGAATCCATTTTGTTTGAATTGTCATATTTATCAAAGCGTAATATTATTAAGTTTTAGGAACTTTTATTTTAGTAGTTGAACTTGTTTAGTAATTACTTGACTAGGAAATACCGACACACATTTTTGGACCAAGTATCTGTGTCGGACACGTGTCCGACCAGAGATATTAGGGTAGTAGTACACCACTATACCACTAAGAAGTTTTTTATATTAAAACTACTAAATAATATATAATATAAAAATTTATATTTTTTTTTTCTAGAAATGAACCGGATAGAGACGACCATATTCAAATTTTAAAAAAAATTTACGTGACGCCCGCGTGGCGCCACGTCTAAATGGTCGTCATAGATGACCAACTTTCAATTTTTTTAAAACTACAATATTTTTAAAATAAGTTTTAAAATCTACAATATTTTGGTATGATATGGCTTGGACACGGAGATGATACTGTTGTGGGTTTTCAGGCCAAAATAAAAAGGTCAATGGCCATTACTAATTAAAAAAAAACAAATAAATGATAAAAACCTAATAACTACCCACGAAAACAAAACACACCCCCCACTCCACGAAGCCTACGCCGGTGCACGCCTTCTTTGTCGCCGTCGCCGTTGCACGCTTTCTTTGCCGCCGCCGATGCTAGCCCTTGCTGCTGCCGCCGACGCCACCCCTGCCTCTGTTTTTCTTATTTTTTTTCTTCTTAGGTAAGCTCTAATAACCTAACTTTTTTTTTCTTCTTCCTCTCTAACCCTCTGTTTTTCTTTCATTTTCGTATACTAAAAAACAATTTTCCTTTACGTCCCTTTCTTCTTCTTTTTTTTTCAACTCCAATTTTGAGTAAAATGATATTTTTTCCTCGTGCTTTTTGTTTCTGTCCACTTAGTCCTTGTTTATTTTTTTTCTTATTTTATAAATTTAATTATCATATTTTATAAATCCAAGAATAAGAGTATTGAAATTATAATTATGCATTTATTTAGCATTTGTTTTGTGTTAAATTTACATATATCCTAAAAAAATATTAAAAGAAAATAATCGTATCCGAATTTACGTGTCCGTGTCTCGTATCCATATCCCCGTGCTTCTTAGTTGCTAGAAAATTGAAACTCATTTTTATTATTTGCTTTATTGTTGGCACTCCAAGGACTTCAATCATTTTCTATTTTCCGAGTTAGAATCTGTTCCCTCTAATAGTACAACTAAATATGTTTGTTATCGTAATTTTTCTTTTGTCTTTGACAATTCATCGAAATAGAACAGTAGATTTCATATTGGAAGGTTCATGGATTAAGGTGAATTGAATAATGTCATAAGCTTTGTTTTGTTTTAGATAACAAACTCATTCTAAAAGTTCGTGGGTGGCCAAAGCTACATGTCTAATTTAATTGCTGAATTCCAATTTGTATCAAATATGTTTTATATCTGTTTGGACAAGGTTGAGAATTCAAATTTGAAGATAACATGTTTCAATATGTATAGGTTATTTTGTTAAATTTTTATTGTGAATACATGGTCAAGCTAGAATTTTTTCACTTGATGCTCTGTATATTACAAAAATTAAACAGGAAAACAGTACCTTCATTCATAATGCAGCAATCTTTCACACTTTTTCTCTCTTTTTCTAATTTGCTTGAGTAATGTTTCCCTCTGTTGCAGGTTTCAAACCGTAAAAGGGAAAAGGAAATGCTACTAAGACGTCTCAGTTTCTTGCTCTCTAGCTCATTTGCCTCAGCTTGCACTCATCCCACACCTGCTATTGTAACAAAGCAAGCATTATCATATCCATTCCTAGAGTTCCAGAGGATCTCTAGTCTTGATCGGACTGTAGGTTTCCCTCTATCTGGAAATGTCTTGGGTTTTCGAGCTTACAGCCTTTTGAGTTTAAATGATTTGAGAGACAAAGTTCCGAGGAAACAAAAGACGAGAAAGGGGCGTGGGATTGGTTCTGGGAAGGGGAAGACTGCAGGTAGAGGTCACAAGGGCCAGAAAGCAAGAGGTTCTGGGAAGCTGGGGTTTGAAGGCGGTCAAACCCCGCTTCGTCGTAGGCTTCCCAAAAGAGGCTTTAAAAATCCTTTCAGCCTCACATTTCAGGTATTTTAATTAATTTTTTCATGTTATTGCTTCGTTGAAATAGTTTTGTGATTCTACAAGGAAAAGCTTAATTCCCAATTGCTATATGTTTAACTTTTTGCATTAGTTTGCTAGCATAATGGATTCCATTTTCATCTTGAAGTCCTTAATATCCATATCATATCTTGCCTCTTACTAGAAACTTTATGTTAGATTTACATTTTTTTTGAGGGGGAGAGAAAATCCCAAAAGCCAAAGGAGTTACATGAAAGTTCTGCCATTGGTCAATATAGAAACAAAACTATATGAATGAAAGAGAGGTGGCAATTTACACCAAGAGATAGCATGACAAATAAGATTATCAAAAACTCTATCATAGGATTGCTCTTTTTGAACAAAGAGCCTTTGGTTCCTTTCATTCCATGCTGCTCAAAGAAATGCTCTAATGGTGTGCTTCCAAAGGAGCTCCTGTTCTTTTTTGAAGGGGTGACCTCTGAACGGTGAGCATATATGAGAAGAGACACTTTAAATCAACCGGTGAAGCCACTGTCCAATTGAACGAAGATAGTACCTCATCCCAAAATCTTGAGATAAAAGAGCAAGTATAGAATATATATGATTGTGATTCCATATGTGGTACATATGCTGCTGTAATTCTTGGGTGTTTATACCCTTATGTGCAAGCTCCCAAATGAAGAATTTGATCTTTAGGTAGAATTCTCCCCAAATAGATTTTGCAAGTAAAGGATGAGCATTGTTCTCTTTTGAGCCGAAATGAAGGAGAGAAGTTGACCCTTGCAGTCTAGCTTCCATACCCAAAAATCCTCAGATTGGTTGAGTTGGATGGATGAAATAAGGTTTGTAAGTTCAACCTACTCTTCAATTTCAACATCCTTGAGATGTCTACTAAGTCCCAATACCTAATGTCATTCTTCCACAAATCCTTCACAGATGCTTGGTTGTGTTGGGGAATAAAGAAGGTGAGGGAAATGGAGGGCTAAGGGTGACTCAAGCAACCACCTATCATGCCAGAAAGAAGTCGAAGCCCCATTTCTAACCTACCTGGACACACGATAATGAATAAGTCTTTGATGATTTCCCTTCAAAGAAAGTCCAAGGTATGTATTCGTCCAAGTTTCCACCTTGCATCCAAATTTGTTGGCGAAGGAGACAACCACCTCCTCCTCCACAACCTCTCAAAGATCCGATGCCTCCTCAAAGGACATGATGATATAAAAGAGGCTTTGGATAGCGCAATCCTTATGAGTGGAGAATAAAATAGCATTATCGAGAAATTGGAGAGGATGAATGTGTATAGAGTCATTGTGTCAAAAGTCTACTTTGGTAATCAGCCACCATGTTAAAGAGGAAAGGTGTGATAGATTTTTTATTGAATTTTAACTACTAGAAATATATTGAAATATTCTCAATGAACAAAAAAAAAACTACTAGAAATATATTGAAATATAAAAGATAGAAGAACTACCCTAACTCCCAAGTAATTCGAGGGAGTTGGACCCTCCCCTCTCTTGAGTAATCCTACCCAAGCCTAAACCATACTAACCAATTGCTTGCCTTCATCCTTCCCCTTTACTCTATTTATAATAAATCTCCTAACAACTTCTCAACTAATTACTAATATACCCTTAATATCCTAATAACATTCCTAATTATATCATTATAGCATTCCTATCCAAGTGAAAGTGGGTTACCTTGTCTAAGACCCCTAGAAGCAGAAATATAAAATCTTACCTCTCGGGCAGTCATTGGAGAAATTTGTGGAAGAAATATAGTCTCCAATTCGTCTTCTCAATTTGATACGGAAGCCTTTTTTATGAGGATCTCATCAAGGAAGTCCCTATTCACTTTGTCGAAGATCTTTTCATTGTCTAGTTTCACATTAACCCATTTCTTTCCTTCCTCTTCCATTGATCAGTAAGCTCATTTGCAACAAGAGACGAGTTTGTCAAACCCGCTACAAAGGTCGATTGCTGCTTCAACATGGTAAAAGGGAGGACTTTTAAGTCTTATTGAGAACCTGAGGCACAATATTGTACTAACATAAAGTAAGACTAAAAGGCCTATAGTCACCCAGTGTACGAGCATCTATCTCTTTAGGGATGAGGCAAATATATATCTCATTAATGGTAGCATTCATAATCCCATTCCTTAAAGAATCTTGGAAAATAGAGAGCTTGAATCAGCCTTATCGACCAAGACTTTAGAGTAAGTTCACTGCATGGAATAAAAATTTTCTTTCTTCATCAGAAAATGGAGAGCTTGAATCAGCCTTATCGACCAAGACTTGAGAGTAAGTTCACTTCATGGGATCCTATCTTGGAGAAAATAAGAAAAAGGCTTTCCTCTTGGGAGCATACACAGTTATCCAAAGGAGGTAGACTCACCCTTATTAATGCCACTCTCTCCAATCTCCCCATATACTTCCTCTCTCTTTTCTCATTACCAACCAAGGTTGCCAATAAACTTGATAGAACTGGTTGGAATTTTCTATGGAAGGGGACATCGGACAAGCGGGGCCAAAACCTTTATAGATGGTATGTAATCATAAGCTTCAAGGCCAAAAACACAGCCCTCTTAGCAAAATGGAATTGGAGGTACCTAATAGAGGAAATGGCCCTATGGAGGCGATTGATACAAGCAAAATACTCCATTCTTGACTTTCACAATCCCCTTCACTCCCGCAGGAAACCTGGAAACCTGGCCATGTTCGGGACTTCTGGTCTCATGAAACCAAATCTTGGGATTTGAGCTTTCGCATAAACCTCAAGGATGCAGAGATTGTTGAGCTAGTTGCTCTTCTACATTGCCTTTCCTCAAAACAGCCTTCATCGAATAGGGACTCCATTTCTTGGAGATTGGAATCCCATGGATCCTTCACCATCGGTTCTCTCATTAAAGACCTCCAAAGTATTAACTCAACATCTCCTCCAACGGATCTTTATAGAGCAATTTGGAAGGACTCATACCCAAAGAAGATTAAATTCTTCCTTTGGGAAACTAGCCTCCAGCATTGAATACACACGACAAGCTATAGCAACGTATGCCTTATATGGCCTTATCTCCACATTGGTGCCCTCTTTGCAAGCAACACAACGAATCCATCGGGCATGTTTTCCTCACATGCCCCTACACAACAGCCTTTTGGAACAAATTTTTTCCCCTCTTTGGAAGGTCGGTCGCCCTCCCCACTGATATGTCACACTTGCTTGCTTTGACTCTTGTTGGTCACCCTTTCAAGAAAGAAAAAGCTAGCCTATGGACCCACTTCATTCGGGCTCTTCTTTGGACTACGTGGATTGAATAGAATTGTCGAATCTTCCAAGCTTTGGAACGCTCTCCACTTGCCACTTTTGAATCCATTGTTTTTTTGGTCTTTACTTGGTGTAAATGCTCCCCCCTCTTTCACTATTATAGCTTTGCCTCCATGCTATCTAACTGGAGAGCTTTTTTGTAACCTGCCTGTGGGTCGTCATTCTTTTTTGTAATCATCTTTCCCCTTTTTCTAATTGGAGCTGTTCTTTCCCAAAATAACCACCCCGTAGAGTATTTTAGTGAAAAACTAAGACCATCTAGAAAAAAATGGAGCACCTATGAGCAAGAACTTTACTCCTTAGTTAGGGCATTGAAACAATGGAAACATTATCTTTTGAGCAAAGAATTTGTCCTATTTACGGATCATTTTTCACTTAAATTTCTGCACACACAAAAATCTATTAGCCGCATGCATGCTTGTTGGCTTTCCTTTCTTCAACGCTTCGAATTTGTCATCAAACATAAATCTGACATCACTAACAAAGCTGCAGATGGTTTGAGTAGAAAAGGAAACTTGTTAACCATTCTAAAGGGGGAGATCATTGCCTTTGAACATCTCGCTGACTCGTACGAAGGAGATTCGGATTTCAGTGCTATCTGGACCAAATGCCAAACACATACAGCATCCGATGATTACCATATAGTGGATGGCTTCCTATTTAAGGGCAATGCCCCATACCTCTCTTTGGGAGGCCCTTATTAAAGATGCTCATTCAGGGGATTAGCTGGCCATTTGGGATGGGACAACACTATTGAGATACTGACTATGCGATTCATTTGGCCACAACTCTGCAAGGATGTAGCCAACTATATTGACCGATGTTTCCTATGTCAAACATACAAAGGAACTACTCAAAACACGGGCCTATACACTCCCCTGCCTATACCAGAAAATATATGGGAAGACCTATCAATGGACTTTGTCCTTTGTCTCCCTCGGACACAAAGGGGCTTTGACTCCGTAATGGTAGTCGTGGACAGATTTAGTAAATGACACATTTCTTAGCGTGTAAAAAGACTTCGGATGCCATTTATATTGCCATCTTATTCTTTAGAGAAGTTGTTCGCCTCCATGGCATTCCTAAATCAATTGTCTCTGATAGAGATGTGAAGTTCTTAAGTCATTTCTGGCGAACGTTGTGGAAAAAATTCGATACTAGTTTAAAGTTCAGCACAACTAGTCATCCACACAAACGGATGGCCAGACAGAAGTTACAAACAGATCTCTCGGCAATCTCATACGATGTCTTAGTGGGGATCATCCTAAACAATGGGACTTAACACTTGCACAAGTCGAGTTTGCATACAACAATATGAAGAATAGAACAACAGAGAAGTCCCCATTTGAGGTTGTATACACTAAAATTCCTAGACTAACACTTGACCTCACTAATCTTCCTTCCTCTGTTGATATCAGTTTAGAAGTGGAGGAAATGGCCACCAAATTTGCCGAACTTCACCAGGAGGTCCATGACCATATTACTAAATCAAATGAGAAGTACAAAATTACAGCAGACAAAAAACGAAGGTTCAAGGAGTTTCAAGTTGGAGATGTTGTGATGATTTACCTAAGGAAGAGTTGATTTCCAGCAGGCACCTATAACAAGTTGAAGAAGAAAAAGCTTGGCCCTTTTCCTGTCCTAGAACAGTACGGTGCCAATGCGCCTACAAATTCGACTTACCACACAACTACAACATCAGCCCCGTGTTTAACGTTGCAGACATATATGGCTATCAACCTCCGGACGAGTTTACTTTAGCTCAATAACTCGAGGACGAGTTGGTTTTTTGGGTCGGGGAAATTGATGTAATTAGTAGTTGCTGTTAATGTTTCTGTTATTAGCTTTTGTTTTAAAGCTTATCTTTTAGTGGGTTTAGTTTTAACCCGTGGTAACTCTGTTTACCCTTGTAGTTTTAAGCTAAGAATCCTATAAATAGGATTCAGCTCTTTCAATAAGAGGCATTAATTCATTCCTTAAAAACATACCTCTAAGTAGGCTACATCAAATCATTTCGTTTCCAAAAAAAAAAAAAAAAATATTTCTTCATCAGACACATCTTATCCTTTTCAATGTTAAACTATGTAGTTATAAACTTAAAAAATCAATCTTTGACATACTATCAGTAAATATCATGTAATAGGCAATTAATATTGCATGACTTTTAAAAGATTTACCTTCTGCACTTTGCATTTACTTAACGTTTAGCTCAAATAATATCTTCTGATTTTAGGTCTCTAACAATATTTAGTATGTAATATAAGATGAAAATCTTTGGCAGGATTTTTCTTCGCGTATTACGTATTTTTTTACTGTTGCTTTTGTTTCATGACAGCCAGTTTGTCTGGGAAAGATTGCCAAACTTATAAATGCTGGAAAAATAGATTCCTCTGAATTGATCACCATGAAAACACTCAAGGTATCATATAATTTATATCTTGAATGGTTTTAAGTTTGTCAAAAGCCAGAACTACTTGCTCCTTAATATTGTATTATTATGCTTACAATTGTGAAAACAGGATACAGGTGCAATAGGAAAGCAAATACAGGATGGGGTAAGGTTGATGGGACGTGGAGCCGAACATATTAAGTGGCCAATTCACCTAGAGGTAAATCTTCTCTACGAGAGATGTTTATGCTTTTTCCTGACACTATCTTCAAAACCTATATACTTTCTAGTTATTCTGATATTCTGTATCAATTTATAAATCTTGGCTATTGTAGTGATCTGAGTCAGTTGCTTGGGAATTTTTCAATATGTATTGGGAATGTAGTAGGCAAAGGAATGGTAGATTGAGTAATGTTCTGTGTCAATATTTATAAATCTTGGCCATTGTAGTGCTCTGAATCAGTGCTCGGCTGCTCAGCCTACATGGTGCAGTTCTATAGTGGGGAGCTTCTCCTTCGTCTGCTCTTTCGTGGTTTGCCGGCTTTTGTGCTATTTTATGGGTCTTTGGGTTCAAAGAAATGATAGAATTTTTAAAGGGGTCGGGAGATCTTGGGAGGAAATTTGATCGCTTGTTTAGGTTTCATGTTTCTCTTTGGTATCGGTGGATAAGGTTTTTTTTTTGTAATTACCCTATAGGTCTTATTTTGTTAGATCAAAGCTTCTTGTTTTAGTTCGGCTCCTTTTGTGGGGTTGGTTTTTCTGTCAGGTACCTTTGTATTTTTTTCATTCTTCAATGAAAGAAGTGTTTTTAGGAATGGTAGATTTTCTTTGTTTCTGGCTCCGTTATTTGCTTGATGATTGATATGCTTAGTTCAATATGATATTGACAAATTAGAAAGAGATTGTAGAAATCTTATTTTATAGTTTTGTCATGGCTTTGAACTCTCATCTTTAACCAATTGGATCGTGGATTAAATACTAATTCATTGACACAAATAGTTAAGGACAGAAATTTTAGTTATGTGGGCCCAGGAGGATTAACGAACTGCTAGTTTTCGGATACGACTTGGTTATTATGAACCACATGTCTGATTGTTCGGAGAATAAATCTAGTAGGAGTTTCGTACACTTTGAACTAATCTTAAATATAAATGTGATGTTTTCAGGTGTTGAGGGTGACCGTTAGGGCAAAGGAAGCCGTTGAAGCTGCGGGTGGGACTGTTAGAAAAGTGTACTACAACAAATTAGGGTTTCGGGCGCTGCTCAAGCCCGAGTGGTTTGAAAAGAAGGGCAGGCTTCTGCCACGAGCAGCGAGGCCGCCCCCTAAGCAGCGAGACAAAGTCGACAGCATTGGCCGTTTGCCTGCTCCAACTAAACCCATTCTGTTTTCAGTTGAAGTTGAAGATGGAGGAGGGGCAGCTTCCAGTTTGTCTACCTAATTTAATCATTCAAATAAAGGACTCTAACCAAGCTAGTTTTGTCCCGGGTAGGCACATCCAAGATAATATTATTGTAGCCCAAGAGTTGATTCATACAATGGACAAATTAAAAAGAACTAAGAAGTTTATGTTAGTTAAGGTGGACTTAGAAAAGGCGTATGATAGAATTTCTTGGAGCTTTCTGAACGAAACTCTTGAGCTAGTTGGCATTCCATCCAAGTTAAAGAATGCTATTATGGACTGTGTATGCTCAACAAAAATGCGGGTTCTATGGAATGGGGAGCCTACGGGTGCTTTTAAAATGCATAGAGGGGTTAGGCAAGGGTGTCCTCTATCACCTTATTTGTTTGTGTTGTGTTTGGAGAAATTATCACATTGTATTTTGGACTCTGTTAATACAGGTAGATGAAGGCCTATTCGGGTAGGTAACAGGGGACCGATGATCTCTCACCTAATGTTTGCGGATGATATATTATTGTTTGCAGAGGCCAACTTTCAGCAAATTGAGG